TAGTAACAAATTATTTTGTGTCATCGTAGTAACGTTTAGTTGAACATATCGGACTAAATATTTTGGTAAGATGAAACAAATTTTGCGTTTTTCAACTAATTTTTTTTCTCAGTGCAAGTATCGTACGTGTGGGTACGTATACAGTATATAGATAGATAGATAGATAGCTGCATATACAAGTAAATAAATATATATCATCTAGTTTTATGGCACGAAACGTTACGCGTGAAGCGCTAAATTTGGCTTGTACGATTGCGTGAAAAAAAGACCTGTTCCACGAGATATCCAGTTTCATTGTTGGATCCCGGTAAATAAAGGCGGATAAGTTTAGACGGTGAATCATCCGCGGCTCTTTAGGCCCGTTGCCATTTTTTTTTCTTCAAAAAAATACCGAGATCTTAGGAGTTTTGCATGCATATATGTGATTGAGGCGTGCCTAAACGCCCCGAAATGCAATGGGAGGAAAGGCTGTAACGATGAGACATTGTAATACCCTCTGGAGAGGACTCTCTGCCATTTATTTCGGATAAACGTAATTTCAAGTAAACGCGTAACGCAAAATAATAGCGATTTTGACGTATCACGCAAATTTATGCAATCGCTCCCGGAAGATAAGACGACGAGCTACCGTGTTAGGCCGCGTTTTTTTCTTCAAGGAAGCGTCCTTGTCGGCGAAGATAAGAGCTATGCGCCGATAACGAAAACCATTATCGAAAACTACCAATCAGCATGAAATCGGTACACGATAATCGGATAATTGTCGAGCCGATGGGCGTATAAAAGCAAGACCGCGTGTCTACGTCGCGCGATAACGGACGAATCGATCGATCATTCGAAGAGGCATCTACAACATAATGTGATCTAATAATCGCCGACGCCTGCGATTACCGATCGCGCGCGGGCGCGCGCGGAAGCCGACGTAATTTTTTCCTGTTCTCGAGTGGATATCTCACGTATCTTTAGAGAAATTAAATATATACCAATGCGAGGATTTAAACAAAAGGAGAAAGAAAAGATGAAGAGACCTATCGAGATGTTCGAAGGGTTAATAAGCTTACGACCCGGTTATTACGTCTCAATGAGAGCCAACCGTGCGCCGGTAGAAGCGCGCGAGCGAGCGAGACGAGGAAACGGAGCGTGGAGAAGGAAAGGGAGTCGTCTCTTCGGCGCGAACCCTATTTCGGGAGTTACAGAAATAACGTTCAGCGTTCGATGTTCGGTGCATGCTGCGCATCGCTCGATCTCGTCTCCCCGAGATTGGTGAACGATACTCTTCCTTTCGCGCTGTAGACACGCAGTGAAAATTAACAAGAATCGACGAAAAAACGCGTCTGTCGGAGAATTTCGCTGAAACCGAATGCTGTTATTTTCTAATAAATGGATCAAATAAAATTAAACATTTTATAGACACATCACTTTTCGATAAATAGCGCAAAAGGAATGTAGATATAAAAACTCCTAAAGATAGATATAATATAAAAAAGGCCAGCAATTCGATCGATTGCGTCATTCAATGATATATATTTTTAACATTAATCATTTAAACTTGTACATTAATCGAGACGCTTTTGGCAAAAATTAAAAAAATTAAGTATAAATATATTAAATGCATTTTTTAACATTAATGATTGTAATTGCGTGCCTTCGAGGAATTCTGAATAAATTGCTTTCATGGAAATAACCAAAAGCCATTTGCAAAAATCTTCAGAACGTGTAATCAGTGAGCCATGTAATTAGCTAAATTTCAGGTTTTTAAAATGTTTATTTAAACAAGTTCACAAATGGATATCCCCATTGTGTGCCGGTAAAATGATAAGTTTCTCCCGCAGAGTAGCGTTTAATTCATTTCGTTCTGTCCATTCATTATAAAATAGTAGATAATTTAGTTTTAGTTCTGCGCGATTGTCACCTATTAGCTGACATATGTACACATTAGCTGATTAATGTAAATTCTCTCGTAAAAGCATCGGTACGCTCTCTTCGATTTTTCCAAGGAATCACCTCATTAATTTTCGTATTCCAAATGTATTCCTTGAATCGCGCCTCGTCGCGACAAAACCGGGAAATACGCCAATTTATACTATATATATGTGCTTCAATCTCTCTCGCGGTACTTACGTCTGGATGTTCCTTAACGGGCACATAGACCTTCTCCGTGAGCGTCGTGATGTCACCCTCAGGTTCCGGCAAGATGAGCGGCTCCTTCTTCACTCCGCTGATTTGAAAAAGACTCGCCCGCACCTTCGCGATTTCTGTAACGTGAAAACGAACCAACGATAAGTACGTGACTATCGACAGATTCCGCTGAATTCGGAGAATTCGAGGACCCGACGAGCGTTTCCGGTTCACCTAAGCTGTTGAAAAATAATACCCTAAATTCTCCGAATTTCGATATAATTGATAGAACTCTCTTCTGAGAGTTCAACAGTTCTCAAAAAGAGAATTCTAGCGATTAGAACAGAGATGTAATACGAGAATGCCTGATGGCTTCGCGTTTTTCTTTGTACGAAAATTGAGCGTAATTCTTTTTTCGTCTCTGGCAGAATCAATTTTAATTCGCCAATACTTTCGATGGAAGAATCCTCGGCGAGCTCGCGCACAGGGTCTCGACACCGCCGATTACATTGAATGGGCCAATCTACGGGGAATCTGGGGTGACCGTTATATTAACGAGGAAAACGAAACGAAGCGCGAGCGAAATGGAACCGCGTGCATCCTTCATTCGATAATACGTCACGCGATTAGTCTTTATATGCGGCGTCTGACCGTATAGCGATAACGTGTAAGCGTGTCTCTGCATACCTATGCACGCACGAACGCACGCACGCACGCACGCAGGCATTTGCACGACTTATACGTGTGACTTAAACGCAGCGCTAATAACGGCGCTGCGAATCTAACGGTTGGGCGTGGCTCCCCCTCTTAAATCGCGAAAGAAAGGATTAAATTTTCTTATTTAGATTTTTCCCCATTTGTTTTCTTAGTATTCCACATAGGATAGTTGATAACAAATTGACCGGCAAATACAAGTGGCATTAGAAGAGAATTGCCTCAATCACTTAAGTGAAAAATTTGTTAACCATTTATTACAAGAAAGTAGTTCGAAGTTTTATTGATTCTATTAAATTTAAGGAAATTAAATAAATTTATATTTTTGTTTGATATAAATACCATTTTTCAAATATTTTTTATTTCAATTTGATAAAATGCACGTGGCTTTTTATAGCCCACTTAAAGGCTGACAAGAGCTTATCAGCTTAGCTAAATTGATTGTAAGATACGGAAAAAACTTATACACAATAAAACAAATTTGTCAGATGACATCTGTCATCTCATACCAGAAACTAATTATTCAACATTAAAAAAATATTTCCGCGAATATTCTCACGAATAAAAAAAACACAGACGCACTTCGAATTATTCAAACATTAAATTTAATTCAGTGTAAGTAGAGTTAACGTCTGAGATCGAGATTGGTATATAAAAGGGAAACGAATCGCGCGCTTTGAGATTCTATCTCAAAGAGCGGCCAAGAAACAGCCCCTGTGTAGCCAGCTTGTAAAGGTGACTTTGTTTATCCCGATGTTTGATCGGTATACACCAGCCCCATCGGTGTATCGCGACAAAGGATCACGGGGCCCGATCGTGCAAACCCGGTCCGCGCTCTTACAACGTACGTGTATATCCGCCGTAACTGTAAAGGTCAACGTTCCGCGTCTGCCCCACTTTCTCGCATGCCTGACCTCTTCGGGCTCTTCGTCGTCGTCGTCGTCGTCGTCTTCCCGCCGCGCCGATGATCCGGCGGCGGCTCACGCGACGACACCGGGCCCCACGGTGACCGCAAACCGTAGCTTTTCGCGTAAAGCATCCGCAAATCACGCACACGACTGCAACTGCGAATTCCAGCCGAGCCACGTTTACGGCGACCGCCGCGCGAAATCTGTCCCGATTTTAGGAGGACGAGTATCTCTCCCCGGCATTTTACGTAAGGAATATTCCGCGTCTCCTCCACCTGTCACGAGATCGTTTCGCTCATGTCAAGACAAATCAATCCGAAAATGCAGGTCTGACAGGCATCAACCTGACGAGTTACTTGTATACACTTTGTCTCTTTTATCTTCGACAATTCTATAACTCGCTCCAGAAATTTGTCTTTTAACGTTTAATATTTAATCAAATGAAAAATTGCGCACGCATTTTCAGTCGCAAAATGATTGTATCGAAATAATCAAGAATTTTTTTAATAATATATTTTGTAGAACTGAAAGCTTGTATACGATTACGTAAAATTACGTAAAACAATTTTGTTCTTCCGGTGCGCAAGAAAATTTCACGATCTGAATAAGCAAATGTGCAAATAAACGACGAGCAAATGTAATTACAAATATATTTCCTGCATTAAACGCGTGTTTAAAGTCACAAATGAATCGATCAGTGGCTGCGCAATAAAGCGTTTATAGCAGTTAATGACTACGCATCAGGCTCGCTTCCTTCTAATGAAGCACTCGATTATCTTGAGGAGAAGCCGATTATTAGCCTCTCAATGGACGCGCTGTTTTTACTCAACAAGAGGAAAGACAGGTGGTACGCGCGATATCGCGCGGTGCAAGTACATGCGCCGGGATGATTGAGAAATCCTTTACGGATCGCAAAATTCGTAAAGAAGCGCCGGTGAAAAATCTCTTGAGTGAATTAATCGTCGTTGCGAGATCGTGTGGGGGGGGGGGGGGGGGCAACAAAAACAAATCGACGTTTTATCGGCGCGATTATTCGATCGCCGAGAGGCGATTTCTACGTCTACGGCGGACACGCCGCTAGTTGTCACACTTATTCCGAATGGAAAACGTCAGATCTTTTAACACGCGCGCCTCTCGGCGCGAGTCATCGCGCAACAGTCGCAACAACCGCGATTTTCTCGAGAGACGCGAAGGAAAAGTGGGAGAATGCGTCACGACGATTCGCGGTACACCCTCGGGGCTAGCGTTGCATTCCTCTCTTTCTCTTCGTCTCTCTCTCTCTCTCCTCTCCTCTTTCTCTTTGTCTCTCTTTTTCTTCATAGGAGGCTCGGAAGTGCGAGGGATACACGCGAGAGGGAAACGTAGATACGTGGACTACAGTCGCGGACAGATAGACGCAGATAGAAAAACACAGTCGAGCGGGGGACGAAGGAGGAGATTGGCCAGGGCAGAGGAGGGGAAGCGAGGGGAAATAAAGGAGGGCATCATAGCCGCTTTTAGCACGGCGCAGCTCACCAGCCCATCTGCGTGACATCAGCTGACCGTCGCTCTTGGCTCTTCTCTCTCTCTCTCTCTTTCTCTCGTCTTACGTCGATTCCCCACTCTTTAGCCTCTCGTACACCATCCGAAATGCGTGATGCGTGTGGCGTATATAGTTGCGCGAGTGTCGGATATGCGAGTGAGCGAGAAAGCGAGAGAGAAAGAGAGAAAGAGAGAGCTCCATCTGTATCTTCGTTCAATGTCAACGTAGCGGGCGGTCACATTTACGTCGCAAGAAGCGCGTCGTGAAGAACAATAATAAGAACCGTCGGTCACAGAGATGCGAAATCTCGATTATTCGCATGGTATGCACAGCGTCACGTGATGAGCGGAGTGTGCGCGCGCGCACGCACGCGCGCGTGCACGTGGGTGTGCGCCGGCACAGTGGCGAGGAGAGATAGATCCATCGCCGCGCGTCGCGGCGCAACATCGCGGCGACGGCGACGGCATGAGATCACCGATGTTGTAATCGGGTGAGACACCACGATCCGTGACTGCATATCGCTCGGAAGCTGAAGAATCGTTCTTCAAAGAACGATGCCGGACGATAATGACAAGGCCTGCCTCTTTTTCTCCCCTCTCTCTCTCTCTCTCTCACTCTTTCTCTACATCCGCGCAACGTGAATCACGGCGCTGCGGCTCATCTCGATTCATCGCCCGCGTTTAGCGCGTGATTTAGCACGATCGGGGCGCACGAAGGAAAATCGCTTGGAAATTTCATCGAGCGCTAATCGCGTTCGTCACTTGAAATTTTAATACATGTATCTTCGACCTCGAGACGCGGACGGGCGATAAAAGGCCGCGCACTTCGTCGAAGGGGGAGGGGGGGGAGGGCAGGGGCCACGTGGGCCACGCGTCGACGGCGACAAAAGGCGGCCGATAAACACCATCAGCTGGATCTTCGCGCTGCACGAAGGCAAGAAATGCCGTTACGATGAGAATGCGACTGCCGGGTGTGTATCGCCGATGCGTTACGTGATCTCCATTTTTAGCCCGAGTACCGGCGGACTTGACTTTAATGCGGGGGCTTGGAGTAAAACGAACACGCGCGATGCATAAATGCAAATGGAGCCGGGACTACGCGATTAAACTATCGTTTGCCTCGAATAATTGCACCTCGTTACGCGATTACGTCCGCTAATGAAATAACGTCTCGTAATGAAATAATAAACGCACAGTGCATACACACGCACGGGAGTTTGCATAGTTATTGAAGTACCTTTCAACGATTATAATTCCACGCGAGGGACGCGGCAGAATATCGGAGACTCTTGCCGGATCTCGGAGAGAGATAAATCCGCGTCAATATCTCAGCCGACGCGTCGCGACACGTTGCAGATATGGGCGGCATAAAATTCATAACTAGCTCATCTATCTTGCGCTCCGCACCCTTAGGCAATTCCCAACTTATTTTCGCGCGGTGAGGCAAGCGTGTCTATTTATATATGTGCCGTTGCTCCAGAAATTTTGCGACAAATGTGAAATCCGCGCGGTGAAACGACTCGCGAAATCCGCGAATCGAGGGCGGTAAAGAAGCGGATCACGCGATAGGCGCATCCCGTACAATACGTAAACAACGTGTCGGATTTCGAAGAGCTTTTACCCGCCTGAAACGCAATGTCTGTCCATCTAGAAAAATAGCTATCGGTCTAAACGGCACGCATTATCCATTTTCCGATTCCTACATCTTTTTAAACATATATATATAGTCTCTACGCACTTAAATAGATATTTATAGTATTTATCGCATATTTTGTACTGTGCAAAATCGCCCGATCGCCTTTATCCTCACGCAAAAGGGTACCGTTAAGTGCAACTGTTGCATCCATTGAGATTTCAATCAGATCGAAGTAAATTTCTTCTCGTGGTTGCACTTTTTTTTGGAAAAGACACACCGCTGTGGATTATACATATATCTCGCTAATAAGCGTTACGTGCGAAAATAATTTGTTGGCTCGCGCAATTTCGAACGCCGG